TATTTTTATATAATCATTTGTTAATTATAATTTATTGAAATTTTTTTATAATAATTTTATTTAAGCATTAAAGTGCTTTTTAATTTACCTTCATACTGGGGAAACCAATGCCGACAACAAAGTTCGCCATCCAATTGACTAGTACAGCGATCGCCATCGCGCTGGGTCTTGGGCCTTGCGAGAACAATTCCGCCGTGATCATCCACGGTATGGAGCCGGGTCCCACAGCGAAGAAGACGACAAAGCCGAGCGTTGACACCACCGACAGATACGACATCCAATCGATCATTTCCTGTACATAACCAAAAAACTCCTATACAAAACGTGTAGTTACCGATTCTCGATGATTTGTAGGCTTTTTCTTGTTTATTGTTTCGTTTCTCATTACTTTTGTTTTGGTTTTTCTTTTCAAATGTAATTTCAACAAATCAAGGAGAATAAAATGTTCGTAAAATATAATTTCCAATAAATAAAACATAAAATATAAAAAGTAAATAATGTAACTACGGCGTATTTGTCTCAAAATGGTATTGTTAGCTGTTTCAAAATAGTTTAAACACATTGGCGCTTTGCCTAATATACCGTTAGCCTACAAAAGTTCATACAAAGTTGTTGCAAGTTATATATTTCTCATAATAGGGTTCTCTGTACAAAATACATTTTTACATTGCATTCTGTGGGGGCCTACTGCTACGGACGCTTTCATAAGCAGCGCTCCGTGCGAAAGCTTTAAAAGTTGAAAAGCTCAAAGCTTAAACAAGTTCTGTACAATTAAGTAAGTATTTGAGAGCTTTAAATTTTTACTTAATTTTAATCGGTAATTTTAAGTTTTTTACAATTTTACAAGTGGATTTATTAATTCGCTTTATTTATTAATAAATATATTATTTTTAAGTTAAAATGACTCTGAATGTAGTGTTTATTGCTGCTCGTGAAGCTTCAGCTGTGTGTGACTTTTAACAAAGTGTTCATATATTTTTGGAAATTTTTTTAATATATATTAAATTAACCGTTGCTTCAGCTTGTGTTTGCTTAAAATCCTACTCAGTGAAATTTCGACATTTACAAAATGACTCTGGCTTGCATTTCTCGCTTTACATACATACATATGTACATATTGCTATATATGCATTATCTGTGTTTTTATTGTTGTTGGTGGCGGCGTTTAGCGTTTTGTGTATAATTTGCTGAACTAAAAATATTTTGTTAAATTTTTTTCAATAATTTGATTGTGTGTTTGCGCTTTTGGAACAGTGCAAATAAATGCTTTGTAATTTGCTTTGTTGCGTGGGTTCGTGTCTTAAGTCTTTTATTTTGGTTTGCACTGCTTGCCGAATTGCTTTGATTTAAGTGCTTGATTTATTTCAATAATAATTAATGAAATAAAAAATATAATAAATTATGAGTTGAAATTATTTATTTTGCGCGTATAACTGTAAACTGCAGGCAAACCTTGTCACATACATACATACTGAAAACGAATAATATTGTAGGTGAGTGAGGTCGGCAATGCAGTTACAGCGTAAAATAAATTGTTGTTGCAATTTTTAAGCCATAAAACAAAAAGTAAGCACTGAAGAAGCTGAAATTAATTAAAACAAAATTAATTGGAAATAAAAATATATTCTTGTGAGTGTGCTTTTATCGCTGAGGGTAAAAAGCCTGCCAAGTCGAGAATTTCTTTCATTTTGCAGGGGAACAGACATTTGAATAAATGAGTTTCGCTGTGAATTTTCGAATTTACAATTTTTCAATTTTTTTAAATCAAAATTAATTTAATTTTAATATTTTTTCTATTTAAAAACAAGAAAGGAAGGGCTAAGTTCGGGTATAACCGAAAATTTCCTACTTTTGAAACTTTCAAGGATTAAAACCACGGAAGTACTTTCAGGTATAGACGTTATATATGGGGCTAAGCGAAGTTTTCACCCAAGTTTATTTAGTCTCGAGTTTCTGGATATGTGTTAACCTAAAAGTGGGAGCTGCACCACCACACCAATTGTCCAATTTTGAACCCAACTCCACTAAAGCAATATTATACATACTATTTCGGAAGGAAGTGAAAGCGCTATGAGACATAAATTCCTTTTTATAATCAACAAATTAACTAATCAAATTCTGACAACTGACGACTACTTTCCTAAATAACAATCGTTTAGCCTTTCTTTTAAAAATCTGATTTAGAAAAGCTCATCTTTTTAGCAAAAAGCTCTTGTGTGATATTAAGCTTCACCAATTATAAGCACTTTAATGTTTTCTTCATCTTCAACTTTCAAGTAACTTTAAAAGCTCAACGCTTTGGACGCTTTATTCAACCCCTTACATTTATTCTCATATCCTAGAACTATCTATCGCCGCTTCACTGATTAATCAGACTTTCTTACTTTCTTTCATTAAAGACACCTAACATCTTCAACTTTCAAGTAACTTTAAAAGCTCAAAGCTCTGAAAGCTTTATTAAGCTATCATCTGTAGATATTTTTTCTCCTATTCTGGAATTATCTTTCGCTGCTTGACTGATTATTCTTATTTTCTTGTTTTCTTTTTTCAAATAGAATACATCACCAACTTTCAAGCAACTTTAAAAGCTCAAAGCTTCGAAAGATTTATTAATATATCATTTCTATCTATTTTTTTCTTATTATGGAGCTATCTAACGTAGCTTCACTGGTTATTTGCATTTTAGTGTCTTCATTCAATAAATAAACATTACATATTGAACTCTCAAGCAGCCTTAGAAGCTCAAAACTTTGAAAGCTTTTTAAAGCTAACATCAGCATTTTAGAAGCTCAAAGCTTTGAAAGCTCTTTTAAGCTATCATCTTGTTTTTTTTTATAATATTATACAACTATCTTTATCTACCTTTATCAGTATTATTAACACAACGCCTGATTTTGGATGCCTTCGACTTATCTATGGGTAAAAATTTGAGGATAAAGTGAACCGCTATTTATTAAGGGGTTGAGTATTATATATCAACTCTTGCTTGAATGAAATCATAGCATCACAACCTCTAAAACACAGTTATGCAACTTTTTTAATTTTTGTGAACTTTTGGAACTGCGCCGTACATTTTTTAAGTGGGTGAGAATTTAATGGTTGAATGAAATTCTGTGCTTATTATGCACTTAACTGTTTTATTCTTTTGCACCATCTACCTATTTATTGATTTCAGTGCAAATTTTCACTATTAAATTTACAATTTTTGTTTTGGATTTTCCGTCACACTTTACTCATTTATTCAAATACTTAACCTACAAACATAATATAGTGTAAACAACTCACAAATACTGAAGCATGCAAAATAATGTTATCAGGTAAGCTAAAATAGAAACAAAATAACTTCGTGAAGACAACTACAGCTGAGAAAAGTCAACGAGTGTTTGGATTGCAAGCAAACGGAAAAGTTGAGAACTCAAAAAATATATTTTAGTCTATGAAAACATTTGAGAAATCAGAATTACTATATTGAAGTGAAATAGTATTTAATACTTAAAAAAATATATGAAATTTGCAAAGCGTGCACATGCGTTTTGATGATTTTAATTTTAATATTATTGTTGTTATTACATTTATTTTTAGTTAAGAATGAGTTTATAACATTTCATGCTATAAAATATGCTGGATATTATAACGTTCATAACGGCCTAAACTGATTATAAATATTGC